ACAATCTTCTCCTAACCGTTCTCTAGGTATGCACACTTTCTCCCACTGGATTCCTTCTCAGCCATGCTGGTTAGGATCCACCCCCCTCCCCCAACAGCTTTGTTTTAACTTCATTTCTTCATCGGCAGCTCCAACTACAGAGGCATTCTGACATGGACAGGACCTTCACATGTGAATATGAGATGACTCGGTAAAGGTGATATGATCCGCGTGAGATAGTTACTGGCGACCCCTCTGATTAAGAAAATTAAAAGGTGGTTTTGTTTCATTTTAAATCTGCCACCATTCTTATTGGATCGTTTCATACATCTGAAGTATTCTTCAATGACATCCTTGGCCTGAGACTCTTTGCCAGAGTCCTTAACCATCCCACGACTGCCAACACTTCCTGTGGCTTCCCCTCTCAATCAGTTTTACAGATGCCCATCCATTCCCCTAGTTTCTTGTTGTCATCAGCCTCAACCGGGCTGATCTGGTGCTCGGCACAAAGGGCCTCACCAACTTCACATACGTGGGCTCCTCACAGTTGGATGCAAGCACACGGAGATGGGCTTGGCACTTGTTCTAGGCTTTAGCAGCTCCAAGTATGCCACACGCTAGGCCACTGAGGATGAGGGCGGGCTTCAACACCTCTTGCAGAGCAGTATTGACGCCCATTACACCTCCAGCAACAATGCCTTTATCAGCCACGATGGTGGATTATGGGTGAATCTTGAACACACCCGAGCCTGTGCCTCTGCATAAAGCATCAGGGGGAAAGCAAGACAATTACAAGTTTTAAGTTCTTTTTATTGATGGTCAGACCAAAAATGGGTTTGTGCCTCTGAAAAGCTTCTTGGTGTATGCTCAGGCACACAGAGCTTTTAGAGGTAAAACACACACACACACACACACACACACACACACACACACACAAAAAAAACATAATTTATATTAAAGTTAGATGAGGGTCAGTGTAGCCTTGAAACATTCATTTCTGGTGGAGCATAGTAATTATTTTAGACACAACAAGCCAATCATTTTTCTTTTTATATATATATATCTTTTCTAGATATTTTGGTTTACTTTAATTATTTTGGTTAATACATCTGGACCATGGTCAAAGCCATGGAAATCTCAAATGTATTGCCAACACAGACATGGCCATTGGTGGGATTAGGGAAAGAACTGTCTAAGCAAATACAAAATGGAGTCAGGACAAGATGGCATTACCTTTGTCATTTCAGAGGGACATAATTTAGACTATAACAATAATTTTTTTCCTTTTTGTTGCTGCAGAATAAGTGTGCATAAGACTTCTTTATGAGTAGTTACAGCTACACATTGTGCTTATGGGACAGTGACTCTCATGGCTGTACTCTGTAACATCTAGGGTTATGTCGTTACCATCACCATTCATTGACCTTCTTCAGTCATCCTGCCTGACAGGACAGAAAATGTGTGTATGGGAGTACATGTGTGGAGTGCGTGCGGTGTATTCTCATGTGCTCGTGGGTGTGTTCACTCATCTGTGTATACAGACGTTGACACAGTTGTGTACGTGTGCATGTGTCAGCTGGAAGTTAACATTAGATGTCTTCTAAAGTCTCTCTATGCCTTGTTTTTTGAGTGAACATCTCACTGGACTTAGAGCTCCCGGGATTCATCTTTCTCTGCTGTCCTGGGGCTATGACTACAGATTTGCATCGCCGAACCCAGATTTTTACATGGATGCTAGGCAAGTTCAACTCAGGTCCTCATGTTTGGGTGGCAAACACTTTACCAACTAGAAAAAAAAAATCAAGATTTTATGCGCCAAGTCCAATAGTAAGATCCTGGTCCCAATGTGTTCAGCTAACAGTCATGCCATCCTTCATCGTGAGGTCTGTTAGACAACTTATTGATGCACTTCAAGGTGCCGTGAAATAGTGAAGCCCAATCTCACTTTTCAATGACCTTTTGTTAGCGTCTGCCGTATCTGCTCATGTGAGAGCGAAGAGATTCTAGTAAAACCCTGTCATTCTTGCTTCTTGCGTACTCCACCATTACGGCTTCCTGGGTTGTTTTCGTGACATACTAGACTGAAGGTGAGTTCTCAATTGATCTTCATGTCATACGCAGCCCCTCTCCATCCTCAGAAGCCAGAAGGCAGTGATTGTGAAAGGCCCCATCTTTCTGGTAGGGGGAGAGGCCAAGAGCTATCTTTTTCTTGACACTTTCAATCTGTCTTCAACCTGGGGACCATTAAGGTACTCCAGAAGTGCTCAACTTTCATGACCACTAAGTTTCTACAATAGGAATCTGTGGAATGGGCTACAAATTTGAGTGTATACTAAAATCACAAGGAGCTCTTTCTAAAAAGCCCAATCCAGGCAGCTGCTGCACCGGAAACCCTCCAGGTGACGTCATTGCCTACTTAAGGCAGAAATCCACTTAGGCACCTTTGTCTCTTAGTTTCTCTGTGTGCTCAGCAAAAGAAGGGTTAAGCAACCCACCTTCCTTCCCTCCCTCCTTTCCTTCCTTCCAAATTGCAATGAGATCTCTCAGGCCACATTGCATGTGCTCATAAAAGGAAAGTAGAAGACATACGCAGATGTCTGATACTTACAAACCATCTTTGGTACTTGAGTGTGAATTAAAATAGAAGTTACTCTATCAACTTTACAGTTTACCAATATATATCATACTATTTTTTGCCACTGTGAAACTCTGGGTCAGCTGAATTGTCTGATTTGTTTGTCATTTTCAGTTACTATAGTTTTCGTTTTAGGACTTCACGGTACATATCAGCCTACTGACTACAAAGCTGGCTTTGATGTTCTTTTGTGCCCTCCTCTATGTTTTGGTGCGCCTTCAGCAAAGATGCATAGTTCTAATATTTTAAAAACATTCTCAGAGTGGAAACCTCTTGGTACACACACACACACACACACACACACACACACACACACACACACACAGGTCCGGGGTGGGCAGGAAGGTGCCAGCAAGATGCTTGTTTAACACCTGCCTAAGGATGTGAATATTCCTGTTTCCTTACAGGTTAGGGACTTGTGCTTTCCAGTGATTTTAGATCTTTATTGATTGACACCCATGGTGTCAGATCTCAAGAACAAGTCGCTCCTTGAACATTTTCTGATACTATCTCCTAGGTGCTTTGAACCCTGCTCTTCATGCTGAGAATGAGGTGGCCTCCTTTCAGAGTTCTTTCACAGCTCTAGGGGAGCAGTAGAGAGCACAGAATGCATGAACAGAGTTCTAGAAACCTGACAAGTGTCATTCTTTTCCTTTGCCAACAATTATTTTCCATCGTAATGCTTTGCAAGGCTTGGCCAAGACTTAAGGAAAGCATGCATGCTCTATTCTTGCTGTGTCCGTCAGAGTGTATTCATTTTTTTTCACCCACTTCTTAAGCAGATGGATGTGGCTCCCTTTCTATGCTGGTTAGCTAGAGTACTTCCTCAGGAAGCATGGAATGTCACTCTAATCATTATGCGTAGATTATAGAGTTAATTATAAATCTATGTGATCTCATAAAATTATGGAAAATCTAGGATAGCAGAAGAAAGTAATAATGGCAATCACGTTATCCCACGATGCAAAGACTATTATAATTGACATTGTGATGCATCTCGCTCAAGTGTAGTTCAGAGTGTGGGGTGGGATTGCAATTCTTTTCTCCTGAGCTACCTTCTCTGCTTAAGAGAACACATGTGCTTTCCATCTCATTAGATGGCCTTCTGAACTCTGTGACTTATGAAGGAGCCAGTGAGTAGCTCAGCATTTTGGACACTGAAGTCATTTCTGAATATCTGCAAAGATTATGCAGTGATGAACGTATGCATGCCTCCCAGGCTCCGCACATCCTCCCATGTGCCCTGAGATTAGATATATACTTAAAAAGCTTTCAGCATGTTTTTGCTGAGCCATCCTCCCGTATTCTACCAGTGTTTTCTTTAGAAGTCTCAGATCATGTATTACTTTTAAATGATTCCCGGTACCTTGGAGGTGGAAAAAGGAAAAGAAAAAATACAAACGCTGGGGAATTGACTGGGTAATTAAGAGCATGTACAAGGCTGGGTTTCAGCGCCCAGCATCCACACTCGGTGGCTCACAACTGCCTCTGACTCTAGCTCCGGGGGATCTGGCTCCTCTGGATTCCTCAGACACCTGTACTGGAGTACACACACATACCTACACATAATTAAAACTAATAAAGAATTGAAGGGGAAAATGGAAAAAATCCTCACTGATATATTTTATACTCTCTTGTTTAATTTTTGTGTAATTTTGTGACTATACATTTGCTGGAGACAGATTTGTATATAATGCTAGAGTAGAGCTATTCTGCCTGATCTAGACATGATAAATATTTAAGGAAATAGCTGTATCTAACTTGATTTTAACGTAATGCAGTATGTACATATACTGAAACATGACATAGTACCACATTAATAGGAACAGTTTTATGTTTATATGTCGGTTAAAATTAATTAAAAGTAATCAAGCTACAAGCATCTTAGTCCATTATCTACCTCATAATTTCTCAAGTCTCTCCCCAAACTGGGTCTTTTTATTGTCCAGTGGGTCACTCTGCTAGGAGAAGGATATTCACAGTCACTGAGAAAGTCTAGTGTTGACTTTACTCGACAAAAGAAAGAAATGGCATTTTAAGCAGGGAAATGTGTTATATGAAAAATTACCATTACAGAATTAAAAGTGTCTGCTTAGCTTACATAAACAATGATTTTGGCAGCTGGAAGGCTGTGGTCAGTCAGTGTTCAGCATTCTCCATTATCACCAGCTGAGTGGAGGGTACCCGAGGATGTGTAGAGCATTTGGAACACAGAGAAGGGCCTGAGTCTGAGTCATAGTATTTCTTATAAGTAAAATGTAATGGGGTGTTTAGAGGGAAATTTGGAGCACTGAACAGAGCCGTTTCTTTACTCGGAGCTTCAGTCCCTCTGAATACAAAGATCCGACTGTCACTCCAGTATCCTAACTGCTGTCTCTACTTGCAGGCAACATGAAGGACCGGCTTGCAGAGCTCTTGGAGTTATCCAGAAGCTATGACCAGCAATTCCCAGACGGGGACGATGACTTTGACAGTCCCCACGAGGACATCGTGTTCGAGACCGACCACATCCTGGAGTCCTTGTACAGGGTCATCCAGGACATCCAGGACGAAAATCAGTTGCTGATGATCGACGTGAAGCGCCTGGGGAGGCAGAACGTCCGCTTCCTCACGTCCATGCGGCGCCTCAGCAGCATCAAGCGCGACACCAACTCCATCGCCAAAGCCATCAAGAGCCGCGGCGAGGGCATCCACCAGAAGCTGCGCTCCATGAAGGAGATGAGCGAGCAGGCAGAGGTCCGGCACGGCTCGCACTCGGCGGTGGCACGCATCTCGCACGCACAGTACAGCGCGCTGACCCGCGCCTTCCAGCAGGCCATGTATGAGTACAACCAAGCCGAGATGAAACAGCGCGACAACTGCAAGATCCGCATCCAACGGCAGCTGGAGATAATGGGCAAGGACGTGTCGGGAGAGCAGATCGAGGACATGTTCGAGCAGGGCAAGTGGGATGTGTTCTCCGAGAACCTGCTGGCCGACGTGAAGGGCGCGCGGGCCGCGCTCAACGAGATCGAGAGCCGCCACCGAGAGCTGCTGAGGCTGGAGGGTCGCATCCGCGACGTGCACGAGCTCTTCCTGCAGATGGCTGTGCTGGTAGAGAAGCAGGCAGACACGCTGAACGTCATCGAGCTCAACGTGCAGAAGACCCTTGACTACACCGGCGAGGCCAAGGCGCAGGTGCGCAAGGCAGTTCAGTACAAGAAAAAGAACCCCTGCAGGACCATTTGCTGCTTCTGCTGCCCCTGCGTCAACTAGCAGCTGGCTTGGGCCTTCACCACCTGTGCCGTGAAGGAAACGTGTCCAAGATGCCCATCAAAGGCATCCCGCACTGGGCCAAGAGACAGGGTCCCGATGCCTGCAGAATTCAGAGGATAAAGAAAGGTGGGGTTGGTGGGCACGATTTAGAACCCAGCACTTGCCTAGAAGGATGGATGTTAGCATCCCATGGGCCGTTAATGCTGGCAGATTACCACTGGAGGTGTGTGACGTTATTATGAGATACGGAGCACTGAGCATCACAGGGAGGAACTAATGTCGTAGCTAAGGTCAATGTCTTGAAGACTAAAGGAGGAAGTGAAATGAACATATGCTAATAGTATGAGCACATTATCAAAAGTTGTCTTCCTTTACCTTCCCTGGGAAGTTTCTTGGTGCTATTCGATTTTTGAGTGACATTCATTTGGGTATTTCTAGTTCTGTTCCAACTTTGAGTAGCATTGACCTTGGGTAAACTGGATTTCATTCACTTGTGATTATCTATTTATGTTGTGTGAGCCCCTGCCTAAATGGAAACGTTACCTCGGCTCTCTCCCCCCCCCCTTATTAAACCACACTGAACACAGTTTCCTTATCTCTCACCTTTAATAACTTCCACTAGTTGTATATATATACATTCATATACATGAATAATTTTTCCAAGTGTTTTAAGCACCAAATACTGAACACGCACTCAAGTTGAACTTTTTTTTAATCACTCACTTTTTATGTGTTTTTCACAGATAACGTCTATTTAAGATGTGTCTTTGTACTTAATTTCTTATGAATATATGTGTAAATGTAAACTAATATTCACTCACTTGTGTACATAATGGCCAATTGGGTTAGCTCTGCTCTTGTAAATTCTGTATTTAAGTAATAAGAACTTTTTTTTGTGAGTGTCAGTGTTGCCTTGGTTGTACTGACTGGATTTCATCCCCGTCTGGATGGTCCACTTCGGGTCAAACTTTACTTTGAACAACTGTGTACTGTCATTAGTGAAGACACATGACACAATCAGGGCCACTAAAATGATGTCCTTAAATCATAATTTACCTTCCCGTGAACCATTCCTTGTATACATGAAAGCGCAGAGACTTAAAGTGAGATCTTTTTTCCAAATAAGTTTAACATGACACTGTGTCTTTTTGTATATTTGTATCTTGACCCATTGAAGATAGTTGTTTGTTTTTTCAATTATAGTTAAACTCCCCCACCCCCAACTACATACAGTATGTGCATGGAGCTCTCAACAAAAGAATTTCCATCAGGACACCCTGAGTTACCTACCATCTTTAGGTTTTAGAGATTTGCTTTGACTTGAAAACTGAGGTGATGTTCAAAAGAAAAGAGGCCACGATTACACCTCCGGTGTGTCTTCTGAATCGAATCTAAATTCCTTCTACACGTTATTAAATACATGAGTGATTTTAGTTGGGAGTCATCTATCTTGAGTTCATAAGAAGGTCGAGATCTATTTATCTGTTTGTTTGTTTATTTGTTTAATTATTTAGTTTTGAGACAGGGTTTCTCTGTGTAACAGCTCTGGCTATCCTTGAACTTACTTTGTAGAGCAGGCTGGCCTCGAACTTACAGAGACCTGATGCCTCTGCCTCCCAAGTGCTGGGATTAAAGGCCTGCATCACCGCCATCACCACCCATTAAAGGTAGAGTTTTAAAAGAAAAGAAAAATAGGAGCTCTTTGGGGCTCACTGATCTATTCAAGAGCGAGGAAAAACTAGTCCTGTGGACAGTTTTGTTTTCATAGTTCGATATGAGAACTGTACAAACTGAGCCCCAGCTGGCTTTTTCCTAGACTTGCCCAGTTTCTTAATCAGCTAACTGCTGGGATGTTCCCTTCTCTCTAAAGGAGAGGGGGGAGTTTCCACGCAGCCCAAGTGTTTATTGTAGAAGAAAGAGTCTGTCTATGGAGACTAGCTATTTTCTGCAACAGAGGATAGTCCATAAATTAACTTAATTTGAACTCTGGAAGCATTTTCACCATTGTGAAAGTAAACAGTTTTAAGTGTCTGCATAATTATTTTTCTGAGACAGTATATAGCCCCAGCTGGCTTGGTACTTACTATGTAGGCCAGGCTGGTATTAAACTCACAGAGGTATCCTCCTTCCTCTGCCTTTTGAGTGTTGAGATTAAAAGCATGTGCCACCAAACTTGGGTGGAACAATTTTTTCCCTAATTAATCCTAATGATAAAGCTGTTTTCACAATGGTAACTATTGTAATCCTGTTTGCTTCTAGTCAACTTGCTATTCTGTTCTATCCTACCCTAACATACCCTACCCTACCCTACCCTACCCTATCCTGACGGGTCCTGTTCCATTCTATTCCATTCCACTTCCATTCTCTTCTGATCCGTTCTATTCTGGTGGGTTCTGTTCTGTTCTGTTCTATTCTATTCTATTCTATTCTATTCTATTCTATTCTATTCTATAATTTCCACAAAAAAATCAAACACAGTTTGGCCAGAGCTTGTTCCTTAGATTCTTCCCAACACACAAATCTTAGGCTCTGTGAGGAGCTCTGGAAAGTGACTAAGGCAGGAGTACAGACCTCAGGGGAAGGTATCAGTTACGTCTCCCATATCCTCCGTAATCCCCCCATCCCCTCCAGGAACTGACTGTGAAATGCCAGCTTTGTTCTTTGTCCCAAAGGTGACACAGGTTCGTTCTTCCCCTCAGTATTCCCTTGGTAGACTCTGAAAGATGACATTGGACAAGGCCTTGTGGTGATGCTACAGACTTCAAACACTAATGCCATTTTGTGTATGACAAGAAGAAAATAGTCACAATGAAAATTCTTCAGAGCAGAAAGTGTGTGTGTGTGTGTGTGTGTGTGTGTGTGTGTGTTGTGGATGGAATCCAAGGTCTTGAGAATGCAAAGCATACACTGCTACTATACTCTAGCCCCACCCCACCAATTTTTTTGAAAAGAGTTTTATATAGTTGAGTATTAGAACTGCCCAAGCTACCAGTCCACTCCTGTGAATATTTCAGCCTAAGGCATCCCATATAGACTGCTTAGACCCACAAAGCTTTTTAGTGCCAGAATGCCTATCAGGAGCCTAGTGGGTAACCACAATTGCTACCTGCTACCGAGTCAAAGTTCAGTTCCCAGAACTCACATGGTGGAAGGAGAGAGCCAACTCTCACACATTGTTCTCTGTCATCCACATGCCGCCTTGAACATATGCATCACACACACACACACATGCACACGCGCACACGCACGTATTTTTTCATTTACAATCCATACTGTCTGTGAGTTAAATAGCTACAAGGCCATTCCTAGTCTGCAGGACTTAAAAGACCAAGGAGCTGATGCAGGAGGATCCGAAGCTATCCTTGCTAATCAGGAACGCAGCTGGGCTTCTGAGCGGTTGGTTCCTCTGGGTAGCAGGTGTGAAGCAGTCATCAGAGAATCCCCACACGGGAGAGAGAGCACAGTGCAAGGAATGCCACCCCTGACGAAAGGGAGTTATTTGGCTTCCATGTGACAAACCCAGGAATTTTTCTTGCTCTCTCTTGCACATAGGAATGTTTGACTAGTTCATTCTTTGCCTTGCCCTGTGGTTTGCCCTGGTGCAATGCACCCTTAAATGGGCACAGTGACAAGGACTCTTCATAGTCTTCAGCCACACTTTGCAATTTGGTTGATGGTGGTGGGGAACGCCTGTCAAACAAGAAATGTCGCTTTGTGGTAAGGTGTTAGGACATGCATTTAGGAGAAGGGAGCCAATCACCAAGGAAATTTAAGAATCCTCTCCTCTACACCTCATGGAAAGGATTCCTGCACCAGCCATTATCAGTGTTTGAGGTAATTATTCAACAAGTTCTCCCTTCTGGTGGGAAATCAGTATCTGTACTCAAAGAGTGCCGAGCAAGACTTGCAACCCATACAGACCCCTCCTTTTCTCGTGGCTACCAGATAAAAGAACTCAGAGTAAATACCTTTAAGACATAATCCAGTGCAATTGATGAATGCCTAAAATAAAATAAAAATAAAAGGATGAATGTCATGACCAATGCCTATAAACCCAACACTTGAGAGACTCATGCAGGAGGATTACCATGAGTTTAATGTCAACCTGGCCTATATGTGTCAGCCAGGGATCTAGAGGGAAATGAGTCTCAAAACAAATATTTACAAGAGGACAGAAGGAAGGAGAAGAAAGTTGGCAGAAAATAGAATATATATATATATATACATATATATATATATATGTATATATATATATATATACACAAACACAGAGAGTGAGTAAGAATATATACACACATATATGTATATACACATATATATGGGAGATGTAGCTCAGGGGCAGAGTGTTTAGAGAAAACAATGAAAGAAAACAAGTTTTCTATAAAGGCAGGAGAGCCCTAAATTCTCCTAGGTGTACCCCAAGAAGATGAGCTAAAACCTAGAAGAGTGTTGCTAAAGGATAAAACAGAGACACAGACATTCCTGGGAGCAGAGTGTGAAACACTCCTTTTCCTTTTTTTTTTTTTTTCAAATAAAAGTAATTAAATCAATAGAAAGCATAAAGATCCACACAGCTTTGCAAGCCACCAAAGTATCAAAGCCACTGTGACCATCACCTCCTCCCTGTACTGTTCCACCATGGGTAAAACTGGGAGAGAAAAACGGGGTGATCTATTTAGTCTATTGTTTCCGTATTTACCCTACTTTTTAATTTGGAAGAGAAGGAATGTTAAAGACACGCATTGTTCTCAAAGCTTGAAATTGCAAAGCCTTTCAAAGGAAAATGTGGACCAGAGGTCTGCCGCGCGCGTGCACACATCGATGGAGTGACTGAACTCCTCCTTCAAATTTGCAGCAACTGTAAGTATGCACACATTCAAAATTGTGTTAGCGGCCCTTGATTTATCTGTCAAAGGAAAGAGGCATCAAAATGCACGGTGTGTGGACTTGGCTGGCAGGATTTGCCAGGAACTAAGCTGCACACGTACACACATCTTTTACAATAAGTCAGCAGCGACTGAGGAGATGATGAGGGGACATTTATTGCTCACCAGTTCTTGGTAAAACACCTCACTTGTCTTTCACAGCACTGGAGTGGATTTGCCTCCTTATAATGAGTTTGCCTGCTTGTGGACATGGTGGCCCTGGATACCCATCCTTTATTCATTCCTCTTTTTAGGTGATTTTGTTCCATTTCATGCTTTGCTAATTTTTCCTGACCGTTTCCAAGCCCTGGTAGAGAGAAGACAGACCACCTATAACTTCGAACCTCCTTAACATGGATTACAGGAAATCAGCATTCCATCCCAGCATCACACAAGATGCCTTCCGTTTTGCCGGCACAAGTAGGCAGCTGGCACCCAAGCTAGTTTTCCTCTGCTCTCATTTTAACCTTTGTGTGTGTGGGGGGTGTGGGGGTGGGCAATGAGCAGTGAAGGGGTAATCATTCAATTAGCCTTGTAGACTCTTTAACACAGACGCAGCTTTTCTTTTTGTCTCTGGGAACTTCCAATCTCCTTATGGACCCAGAGCTGGACACAGACAGAAGTTGTTGACTTCACATACACTCAGTTATTGGGGCCAGAGGAAGGCCTGAAGCCCAGAAGGGGATGTGGATTTTGACATGGATGCGGCCATGTCAAGGACTTCAAGGCCTCTGACCCAGGGAACAGTTTGGCAAAGCCATTACCCGAATGGCTCAGGCTCCAGAGCAAGGCCCAGATTTTTCTCTGAGGGAGACACTTCTGTGTTAATGTCTGCTCTCTACAGGCATCACCTACCAAGATTACTTAACCCTTTCTCTTCTGCTGTACACTTCAGTTCAGTTAGAAAATCCCACCAGGTCCCAGCTTCCGTGTGTGTGTGTGTGTGTGTGTGTGTGTGTGTGTGTGTGTGTGTGTGTGTG